GCTGCAAACGTAAAAAATAATAATAATCATAAATAAATTTAATATTACTTTTATTATATATAATCTGTTGTATTATTTAACCCTTTTATTCTCTTTCCTGCAATTTTCTTCAGATTTTTTTTTGCTCACTAGGGCCTAATGATACCTTGTATTTCATCAATGTGTATACGCTACTGAGGACTTCTACGGATAGCTTACTGCGCATGCGCTGGGACTGCCAAACACTGATCGGCGCGCTACTTAAAAGTAGTTTAAGCCATGCTATCCAGACCGACGAGCTAGTCTTTACAGCATTGAAGTGGAGGAAGGATCTTGGCGTTCCATTTAATCAACATAAGTCCTATTTTTTAATATTACACATATATTTAGTCACAACAATTGTACATTATAAATAGTTATTCAATTTATTATTTTTATAATTAACATTTTCTGTTTACTAATGATCTAACCTTCACGTAACAATATTATTAAATCGTGCAACAACAATAAATATGTTATTATAAATGCTTTTATTTTTCAGTTCCAAAATTGAATGTACACACAATCTGCCTCGATCTTCGACAAAGAATTAAACCAATAAAGACTTACATAAATTAAAAATTGTACAAAATATATTTGCAAATTGTATGTATTTATGAAGTTACAATAAATAAACAAAAGAAATCATGTACTTATTTACAATCCTTTCCATTACATTCTTAAACATAACAGACAATCAACAGGTTAGGTCAGGCTTACGGTAAGGTTATATCCGTAACCTAACCTTAGGCCCAGACCTAACCTAATATAACCTAACCTTATGGCCAGACCTAACCTAATCCAACCTAACCTTGGGCCCAGACCTAACCTAATCCAACCTAACCTTAGGGCCAGACCTAACCTAATATAACCTAACCTTAGGCCCAGACCTAACCTAATATAACCTAACCATAGGAACTTACCTAATCCAATAAAAATTAACCTTGGGTCCTGGCTGATAGTACTAACTGTAGTAAGGATACTAATTATATTTCCACCCATTGTAATACGAGTAATAAGGATTATTTATATTAAAAATAGATTAGTACTACTAATAATAGTTATAACGATAAGAGAAGTAGCAATATTGATGAGCAATAGGATGATAATAATAGATCTAACTATTATAAGAATAGTTATATGGGTAATAATATAGGTTATATTGAATAATAATAAGATTAGTAAAGATAATTATAGTTCCAGCGATGATAATAGTCGTAATATGCGTAATAATATTGATAATAATAAGAATAATAAGGATAATGATGATAAAAGTAGTAATATGCGTAATAATATTGATAATAATAAGAATAATAAGGATAATGATAATAAAAGTAGTAAGATGCGCAATAATATTCATAATAATAAGAGTAGTAAGAATAATTACAGTTCCAGCGATGATAATAATCGGAATATGCGTAATAATATTGATACTAATAAGAGTAGTAAAGATAATTACAGTTGGAGCGATGATAATGGTCGTAATGTGCGTAATAATACTGATAATAATAAGAATAAGAAGTAATAATTACAGTTCCAGCGATGATAATAGTCGTAATATGCGTAATAATATTGATAATAATAAGGATAATAAGGATAATAAGGATAATTACTGGCGGTTAGGTTGGAAAAGGTTAGGTCGGACCCCAGGGTTAGGTTACATTAGGTTAGGTAAGGGTACCTAACCTACCTAACCCACCCTGACCTAACCTAATGTAACCTAACCTTAGGCCCTGACCTAACCTAATGTAACCTAACCCTAGGCCCCGACCTAACCTCATTTATCCTAACCCTAGGCCTCGACCTAACCAAATATAACCTAACCTAGCGGTCTGACCTAACCTACTATAACCTAACCTAGGGGTCCGACCTAACTTAATATAACTTAACCCTATGCCCGGAGCTAACATAATATAACCTAACGTAGGGCCCCGATCTAACTTAATATAACCTAACCTTAGGACCTGATCTAGCCCTAGGGCCTGACGAAACCTAATTAACCTAACCGTGGGTCTGACATGATCCGACAAAACCTTAGGTCCTAACTGATAACAATTACACTAGTACGGATAATAATTATAGTACCAACGATAATAATAATAGTAATATGATGATATATGTTATATTTATAATAGTAACAGTAATAAGGATAATGATGATAAAAGTAGTAATATGCATAATAATATTGATAATAATATAAATAATAAGGATAATTTTAATAAAAGTAGTAATATGCGTAATAATGTTCATAATAATTTGAGTAGTAAGGATAATTACAGTTCCAGCGATGATAATAGTCGTGATATGCGTAATAACATTGATAATAATAAGAATAATAAGGATAATGATGATAAAACTAGTAATATGCATAATAATATTGATAATAATATAAATAATAAGGACAAGGGTAATTACAGTTCCAGCGATGATAATAGGCGTAATATGCGTAATAATATTGATAATAATGAGAATAATAAGGATAATGGTGATAAAAGTAGTAATATGCGTAATAATACTGATAATAATAAGAATAATAAGGGTAATTACAGTTCCAGCGATGATAATAGGCGTAATATGCGTAATAATATTGATAATAATAAGCGTAGTAAGAATAATTACAGTTCCAGCGATGATAATAGTCGCAATATGCGTGATAATATTGATAATAATAAGAATAATAAGTATAATGATGATAAAAGTAGTAATATGCGTAATAATATTGATAATATTAGGAAATAATAAGGATAATGATAATAAAAGTAGTAATATGCGCAATAATATTGATAACAATAAGAGTAGTAAGAATAATTACAGTTGAAGCGATGATAATGGTCGTAATGTGCGTAATAATACTGATAATAATAAGAATAATAAGTATAATGATGAT